GCGTACAATAGACCCTTGTGGTTCAAGCTTAGTGACACATCAAATTGAGTTAGGCCTTCTTTTTTCCAGGATACGGAGAGAACAAGTACGAAAGACATGGTTGCAGCATTTGAGGAATACAAAAAGAAGGCTATAATATTAGTCGAAGAGTATTTTCAGAATGATGATATAACATCCACAGCAAATGAATTAAGAGAACTTGGGATGTCTTGTTATGACTTCTACTTTATTAAAAAGTTAGTATCAATGGCTATGGATAGGCATGATAAAGAAAAAGAAATGGCAGCTGTTTTATTATCTGCTCTTTATGCTGAAGTTATCAAACCACAACAAGTCTACAAAGGTTTTAGTAAACTCTTGGAATCTGCTGATGATTTCATTGTAGACATACCAGATGCAATCGACATTCTCGCGTTGTTCATTGCAAGAGCAGTAGTTGATGATATACTTCCTCCTGCATTTTTAGCAAAAGCAAATTCTTCTCTACCTAAAGATTCAAAGGGAATTGAGGTTATAAAAAGAGCTGAAAAGAGTTACCTTTCAGCTCCTTTACATGCTGAAATCATCGAGCGTCGATGGGGTGGAAGTAAGAATAAGACAGTTGAAGATGTGAAGGATAAGATCAACAACTTGCTTATTGAGTATGTTGTAAGTGGAGAGAAGAATGAGGCGTGTAGATGCATTAACGATTTGAATATGCGTTTTTTCCATCATGAAATTGTTAAGAGGGCTATTATCATGGCAATGGAAAAGCAACAAGCCGAAAGTCGCCTTTTGGACTTACTAAAGAAGACTACAGAAGAAGGCTTAATAAATTCAAGTCAATTATCAAAAGGGTTCAATAGGATTATTGACAATATCGACGACTTGTCACTTGATATACCAAATGCAAGGATGATTTTTCAGTCAATAATTTCTAAGGGAGCATCAGAGGGTTGGCTGTGTATTTCATCTTTGAAGTCGTTATCGACACAACTAGAAAAACAAGAAATTGATGAAAAACTAGTGAAGGAATTCAAACTGAAAGCTCAATCCATGATCAAAGAGTACTTTTTGTCAGGTGATATTGAAGAAGTAAGTAGGATTCTAGAGTCGGAGAACAGTTCGTGTTTGGCAGAACTAAACGCCATATTCGTTAAGAAGTTAATCACTTTAGCAATGGACAGGAAAAACAGAGAGAAAGAAATGGCTTCAGTTCTGTTATCATCTGTTTGTTTTCCAGCAGATGATGTGGTAAATGGCTTTGTAATGCTAATAGAAGCAGCAGATGATACAGCTTTAGACATTCCAATTGTCGTTGAGGACTTAGCGATGTTTTTGTCTAGAGCAGAAGTAGATGAAGTTTTAACTCCACAACACATGGAAGAGATTGGGAGTCAATTTTTCGAACCGAATTCAATAGGTAACAAAGTTGTACTAATGGCAAAATCTTTGCTAAAAGGTAGATTATCTGGTGAGAGAATACTAAGGTGTTGGGGTGGTGGTGGAAGTAGTACAAACGGATGGGCGATTGAAGATGTTAAGGATAAAATACGAAAATTATTAGAGGAATTTGAATCTGGAGGAGATGCAAAAGAAGCATATAGATGCATAAAGGACTTAGGTATGCCATTTTTTCATCATGAAGTTGTGAAGAAATCATTGGTGATTATAATTGAGAAGAAAAGTGAAAGGTTATGGGGTTTTCTCAAAGAATGTTTTAGTATGGGACTTATTACTATGTATCAAATGACAAAAGGTTTTGCTAGAGTTGCAGAATCACTTGATGATTTGGCTTTAGATGTACCAGATGCTGAAAAACAATTTAAAGTTTATGTTGAAAGAGCAGAGGTTGAAGGATGGTTAGATTCCACTTTTAGTTTCAACAGACTTGGACATAATTCCATGGAAAATGGATTTTGTTGAATCATATTTCTAAGGTACATTCTACTCTTCTTTTAGTTACTTGAGCATGTACTTTTCATGTTGCTCTTACTCTTAAAAAATGCAACAACATTCGTGTCAAACTCTCCGAAAAAAATTGCACTATATTTGGAGGATCTAACATGCCCTTATCGACATTTTTGAAGAGTACGAGGATTTGATATGCACTCATCACTACACCAAAAATGATCTTTAACGGCAATTAACCACAGTAGCTTAATTACCTCTAAATGTGTCTTTTTAGAAACAATTACTAGTGACAATTGCATTTTAGCACTCTTAGTAAATGTCTTTAAAGCCTATAGGACATTGAATCCAATGACAATTGACTAATGTCGGTAAAGGTTTTAACACTCTTTATTAATGTGCTTATTCACTGGCGGAGCCACATACACTTGAGGGGTGTCGACTGACACCCCTCCGTTGAAAATTACATTGTGTATCCAGATTGATTTTTTTTCGATGTGTATATATATTACATGTTGACACTTCTTGGCTTCTATGCAATTTTGCTTTTTTATATTTTGATACCCCTTGATCAAAATTCTAGCTCCGCCACTGTGCATATTTATTACCGTTAAAAACTGTTTTTGTTGTAGTGCGTCCATATATTAAACTTCAAGTGGTTCATATATTTCACTAACTCAAATTTTAGGTTTGTGCTCTCTTTTTTCTTTCCAGGACCATATAGTGTGTAGCAACATCATCCAAATTGTTGTAGCAAAATGGATTTCTTTACATGGACAATAGAGAGATTATAAAGGAGGAGGCCACCATGAGTATGTTCTAAATTGAGGAATTGCAGAGATGAAAGCCCACAAAAAGTGCTCAGCAGAAGAGATCAACTTGCATCATCTTTATATAATTATATTATATATATATACATGTCCATGTCCATTTTTGTTCTACTCAGACTCCACTTATGAGACTACACTGAATATGTTGTTGTTGTCATCGATTTTTGTGTTGAGACTAATAAATTGTTCCGTAGTGATTGAATTGTTACATGTACTATTGAATCTTATAGTATAACATTTTACCCTTTTTGTTACCGTTATATTGAGCCAAATATACTGTCTTTTTTCCTTCTTGTATTCCAATGAGAAAAGCTAGATAAAAGATCAACTATCTGAATTAGCAAAAGTCATTTTTTGCTTCATCATGTGAAGAGGTGATGCGTAGATGCTCAAGTGAGGAGATGCAGGAGGTTGGATATAGCGGGTACGAGGAGAGGTACGTAGAGGTAGGGCGAAAAAGTATTGGAAATATGTGATTAGACCGGACATGATGCAGTTTCACATTACCAAGGACATGACATTAGATAGGAGGGTGTGGAGGTCGTATATTAGGGTAAAATATTAGTAGGTATAGAATATTATCTTGATTTTTGAGGGGTTTACTTTAGTGTTTTGCCTTTTTATTCCACCATCTTGTTGTTGACTATATTTAGGTTATCGCATTATTTTGTGGTTGTTACTGTTTCCTACTTTCCCTATTAGTTGCGTTATTTCTTCACTGTCGTTTTCCCTTTTTCATTATTCTTATATGTTATACTCGAGCCGAGGATTCTCCGTAAACAATCTACCATAAGTCCCTACATGCCCTCTCTTCTTCTTTTTTTAAATTTAAACGTACGAATATAAACAAACTTAAATAGATTAAAATAAGTTTATTTTTGGGAAAATGCATAAGTACCCCCAACCTATGCCCAAAATTTCAGAGACTCACTTATACTATACTAAGGTCCTATTACCCCCCGAACTTATTTTATAAATAATTTTCTACCCCTTTTTGGCCTACGTGGCACTATCTTCTGGGCCTAGCGTGTGTTGACATTTTTTTCAAGCTATCTGGTTGATAGTGCCACGTTGGCCGAAAAGGAGTAGAAAATTATTTATAAAATAAGTTCGAGGATAATAGGACTTTAGTATAGTATAAGCGTGTCTCTGAAATTTCAGGCATAAATTGGGGGTACTTATACATTTTCCCTTTATTTTTTATTAGCCATATATTATTATTTTTTGCGTACTTGACCCTTGAGGTACCACACGTGGAAATAGTTATAAAGAATTATACCATTCTTATCCCACACACATTTTTCACGTATAAATTATTTGTCCAACCTTTCATATAAATGCTCACTTTTATTTTTGAAGAAATTAAAAATAAAAGGAAAATTCTTCTTGCCACTAGTAAATTTATTTCATATAGATGCTTGATTTTATTTTTGAAGAATAACAATGAACAACATCCATGAGCTTAAAACATCATAGTTTAAAACAATATATTATATCTTCAACTTTAGACAAGACGATAACTCATGTTGAAATAGGAGTTGAAGGAGATTTAATTCGGTCTGAACCTTTAGGAACATGTTTCGTTATGTCGAATTTGTACAATTTCTTTATATTTGATAGATGTTGTTTGAAAACCGGAGTTGTAGGAGATTAAACTAGATATGAACCTTTAGGAACACGTCTCTCGATATCAAGCTCGCACAACTTCTCTATATTTGATGGATGATTTTTGAAAACTAGAGTTGGGGGAGATTTAATTGGATCTAAACCTTTAGGAACACGTCTCTTGATATCAAACTCGTACAACTTCTTTATATTTGATGGATGATTTTTGAAAACTTGAATTAAAAGAGATTTATTTAGATCTGAACCTTTAGGAACACGTCTTTTGATGTCAAACTCATATAATTTCTTTATATTTGATGGATGTTGTTTGAAAATCGGAGTTTGGGGAGATATATCAATATCGAGATGCAATGTATCGAAACGTTGAGTGATATATCCAAAATTCTTAAATTACAAGGATTTTTTGTAATTTAATATGTAATGATGTAATTAGCTCTTAACACTATTAGATTTGTATAATCTTTACATTTTATTGCCACGTATTAAACTCCAAAAAAGATTTTGTTTTTTCTTTCTCGTGGTATGAATTCGTATTAAATCTCGACTAAATCAAATCGCATGCTGTAGGGACCCTCAATATAATTTTTTTCTAACCCGAACTCAAATCCGAATCTCTGATTAACTGCATGTGCAACAATATGTTGGTTCAAAAAAGCTTTTAAATTGACGCCTCCCCCTCCCCCCGCCCCCTCCCTCCTCTCCCCTCCGCCGAATTCTCTCCCTTTTTTCCTCTCTGTCATCGCCGGCCACTTAACGACGATCTCAATCATGGGAGAGATCGAAGAAGCATCCACCAGCGCCGACGAGATGTCTCCACTGTTACCGAACCCGAAAACCGACCCGAATCCGTCTACCCGGACTAAGTCTGTTAAGACCAAGGTCCCGGAGATCAAGGTCCATCTGTATAAGCAAGGGAAGGGTCCGATCGACGAATTCACGTCGTCCTTAGGTGGATGGGAACAAGACCAGCTAGAGGTTAGTGATATTCTAGACAAATACGGGCTTAAATCGGTCTATGCATTCAAACCGGAGACGGGCCGAGGTGTCCCTATCAGATTCAATCCCCGTAACGGCCGATCGATTCTAACCTATAGAGATGGATCCGAGATCCATATTGATGGAGAACCTAAGGTACAATCATCTCACACAATTCACAATTAAGTATATGGCCTGTTATAATTTGTGCTCCTTATCTGTTGTCCCATAATTTGTTTCTTTTGGACTTTATTGCACTATTGTTTGAGTTAGATGTGATGAAATTCAGCTATATTTTTTAGCAGTGGTGTCAGGGACAGCTTGCCCGCGCCTGGTTCTTGCTGCCTCCCACCAATATAGGTATTGGGTAACTCTATCCATCAAGTCTTCCATAGATGGGAAGAAATCACATAGTAGTATTTTTTGACCTCCTGGTTCTCGTTCCACGACTACTAGTCACATCCTTGATGCTACAATTCAGATAGATTTCTTATTCACTTAGTAATAGTTTTGTTAGCGTGATAGTTATATAGGAATATAGGATTATAATCCATATTTTTTCATGCAATAAATATTTAATAAGCAGTCGTTATATAGTCAATAATATGTACTGATTGTTCTATGATTTCTGAATTTTGATATTGCATGAATTGTTGTGTAGGGATTGCCTAGATTAAGTGCATTTTGTGTTTTGTTAATACACATATAACTATCCCCTACTTTATCATAGATAAAATGATAGATAGATTTTCACATAACTCATGCAGGTATTATCAATACGGGAGTTAAATATTGAAAACCATAACATTGCAATAGTTATGCTGAGCTCTATACCAAAATTTGAATTTTTTTATTAATGCCCCGGTGATTAAATTAGTATTGCAGCAGTTTATGTTGCAAAACAAATGTAAAATTAGTCAGAATTTTATGCTGGTATCGTTTTTTTGCTTATGCAGCCTACCAAACCATACGTGTTCCTTTAACTCTCTGTGAACTAGGATAGAGTTTGGACAACTTTGAAGATATATGAATTAGGAAAATTTGTCTATTTTGAGACATATGGTAATATTGCATGAACGACACTGAGAGGATGAAATTTGGAAAAACATGATGTACTTTTGGGCAAATTGACATTTGGGATTGACACTAAAGATTGTACCATCAATTTTCTTGGTGATTTAAGTTTGGAGACAAATATAGTGCTTGGATATGATAGATCTTGAGTCTCTCGGAGGAAGTGGATTTGGCAGTAGGTGTAGGAGTTGCCTGTATTTTGCACTTTATTTTTTCCAACTGTTGAATTTTGGAAAGAGTTATTAGTTGAGACTGAAACTTAAATTAATGGTGTGATGGTACTCCTGTGAAGTTTTGTTTACTCTATTGCAGCCTGGCTGTGAGTGGTGAAGCTTTTATTTTTTGTCATCTTCACCTGTTTTTGAAAAATGGCATGTCATGTTCATCTTACTTAAACAAGACCAACCTAGAGCTTATTTGAGAAGTGTTGAGATTGGATGGTTATCCACTTTATACAGTGGAATGTCATAAGGATGGTTATCCCTTTCAAGAATGCGGTGAAGTGTCCTTTAAGTAATGTCACAAGGTATGAGTCAGGCTTGATTGTTCGAGCTTGAGAAAGAGTCTCTGACTTGTATGCCTCTAGTGTGAGGCTTTGTTATGTCTTGAAGGTCTTTTCCTTTTTAATGGATAAAGTTGATGTTTAGAGGGGAAATTAACCACTAAGGGCTCGTTTGGTGTGAGGTATAGTAACAAATAGTCCCGGGATTAAATTATAGTACCGCTTATTTTGTTGTTTGGTTGGCAAGTTCGGGATAACTTATCCCGAGATTAATAATTAGTACCGGGATAAGTTATCCCTCTCCTTGGGTGGTATAGTAATCCCGGGATAACTTATCCCGGGATAAAATAGGTAAATGACAAAAATGTCTCTTTCAACCCTTTTGTTATATCACTTTTTACATTAATGAAGGGCATTTTTGTAAACAAATAAATTGTTCTTAAAATTTATTATTTTGAATACAACAAACCAAACACTCAATAAAAAATAATCCCAACACAACTTATCCCATCATAACTAATCCCAACATAACTTATCCCAACATAACTTATCCCATCATAACTCATTTTCAAACCAAACGACCCCTAAGGAAATTGATATACCTTTTAAGGTTTACCAAGTAAGAAAGAATGGAACGGATGATGCAATGTTTCCAATTATACGAGCTGTATGTTCCTTATAAAAAAAAGAAAATTATATGTGACAGCTTTGTGATATCTTACAATGGAAAAATAGTTGTTTAATACTCACCTGTTTTCAATGGAAAAAGAATGATGAAGGCAGGAAATTAGCAACAACAACTGCGCCGCAGTCCCAAACAAGTTGTGGGATATTAACAGCCTGGGGAAATGCATTTTCTCTCTAGGTTTAGCAGACAAAACATATGGATCAATTAGACTTCAAATTCCCACACCTTCTGATTTATGTTCATATGCAGTCTACTTTTGTATTTCTTTTAGAAGGCTCAATAGTTATTCATTGATTAGTCGTTTGAATGGATAAGTTTACATTTCAAGGTCTCATCTAGTTCTTTCTATCTTTTAAAGAGCTCTCCCTCAGGCAATTTCCATTTTTTTCCTAGTGAGCTTTTTGTGATCAGAGCCTTCACAATTAGGGCTGGGCATTAGGTCGGTTCGGTTTTTCGGTTTTCAGTTTGACAAAATGTGAAACCAAACCAAGCTGAAATAAATTCGGTTTGGTTCGGTTATTATAATTTCAGTTTGGTTTATTTCGGTTTAACCAAATTTAATTAACAGTGGTCTGTGGACTTTTTAGTACTTGTTGTCTAACCAAATTTATTTCAGACATGTAGGCTTTAGTACTTGTTTTCTACACAGCCACAAGACAATACTTACTTTTAAACAGGAAGACAAGACAGAGATCTCAAACAAAGAGCAGTCTCTAAGAGGAGCACCACTATTTGGTCATGCAACCTGTGTCTGTCTCACTGTCTGTGCTATTTTGGAGCACAAATTGTTCCACTGTGAAACATATAGTGACAAGTTACTGATCAACATACCAGGCTGCCTTTAGCACCGACTTAATCCCATATTTTCATGCTTAAAGAATAAGAACCTTGATGCAACTAACTAATGCATAAACGTATGGAGAAACCTCATTGATAATTCTTGTCCAAGCAGTCCAGCAAGCAGCAACATTAACAAACTAGTCAAGAATAAGAATAAAAAGACTATCAAGAGTCAAGACAACAACACTAGAGAATTCAACAAACTTGTGCCCAGCCCTAAAATAGAGTTAGTTACAAACTAAAGTCCAGCTGCAGTATGCAGCATTGCAATTTGCAGCAACCAAAAGATTTAGAAAACCAACAAAACATTGTTGCAACCTCCAGTGCAATAGCTCCCAAGTTCCAACAGATAGCAACCAAGAAAATACAAACCATTGATGTGCCTGCGAGAAAATAAAACTCTTTAGACAAATGATCTACATTTCATAATAAAATATATAAAATTATCAAGCAAGTTATGTAAATAAGTTCTTTACTTACCCGTTACCACACATCACTAGTTGATAGTTGAACTTACAAGTTGCAACTATATATCAATAATACTAGATTCAGTCCCACTACAAGCAAAATCTAAAAAAATATGAAAGAATTTGTTAGTTGTTAAGAAACACAAGTAAGAAAATTATTTTCAATATAATTAATACAAATACCAAATTCTTACCAAATTCAAGTTGTTCAAGATACTCTAAATCTTCCTCAATATTGATTGGAAAAGGCTCACTTCTAAGCCAATCTTGAACACAAATAAGAGATTGCACAAGTTTAGGGGTTAATGAACTCCTAAAGGGATCAAGATCACGACCTCTTGTGTTGAATGCACATTCTGATGCGACACCTGAAATGGGAATGGCTAACACATCACGAACCATCTCTGCGAGAATAAGAAATCTCGGCTCATTAACTTTCCACCACATTAATATATCAAAGTCATCACTATCTGGCTCAATATCTTCAACAAGATATCTTTCCAATTTACTACCTGAACTTCCACTAACTTCTTTATGCTTCTCAAATTGTTGTTTCATTCTCATTCTTCCTCTATTTACAAAGTTGCCACAACCACTCAAACTAGATATACTTGATGAATTGTCAGATGAAGTGGGTGAAGATGGTACATGTAAAGAGCTTTTTGAGGATTTCTTAACATAATATTCAAACAATTTGGTCATGTATTTTTCCACTTCTGAACATAGCTTGTCCCCAATTTCTTTTTCAAACATATCCACAATTGCAAATGGAACATAATCAAGCTTGTTACGGGGATCCAATATGGATGAAATAAAGATCATCTTTTTCATTTATGTTGTTCACCTTAATACTTTTTGAACTTCTCATTCATACTTTCTGCCATTTCTTTCAATTTACCATCTTCATTTGCCATCATCTCTTTCAAAATAAGATTAAGTTCAACAATTTCAACAAAGTGTGTATTGCTAGTGACATAATTAGAACCAGAGACCTTCAAAGTAAGTACATAAAAAGTTTCAAGAAATTTCACCATTGACCTCACATTTTTCCAGTCAACACTTGTAAGAATATCTACACTAGTTTCATCTTTATCTTCAGAAGAATCAAAACCAAAGGTACGAAGATGATTCAAGTATCCAATATCATAAAAACTATATCTTTCAAATGCAAGCTCAAAATGTTGTGCTATATCAAGCATCAAATATGTAGAGTTCCACCTAGTAGGAACATCTAAACATAATGATTTCTTACAAGTTATCAATTGAGATTCACAACATTCTTTAACCTTTCTAAGTCTTGCGGGAGATTGTTTAATGTATTTCACGGCTTGTCTCACTAGCTTGACAGACTTACCAATTTCCTTCAACCCATCTTGCACAATAAGATTAAGGATATGTGCCATACACCTCACATGAAGATGGTCACCATTCATAATGTTAGTTCCCCAGTTACTCAATTGTTAAGACATTTCTTTCACAGTAACATCATTAGAACTAGCATTATCAACTGTAATAGTAAACACATTATCCAAACCCCATTTAAGCAAACAATTAGTAATCCAAGCCGCCATATCCACGCCCTTATGACTAGAAATAGGACAAAAAATTATTATTCTTTTATGCAAAGTCCAATTTCTATCTATAAAGTGGGCTGTCAGGCACATGTAGTTCATTTTTTGTATAGAGGTCCAAGTATCTGTCGTAAGACAAACTCTTGGACGTGCTTCTTTGAAAACCTTCTTCAAAAGTTGTCTTTGTTCAAGGTATAGTTCATAACAATCTCTCGTCACGGTTCTACGAGAAGGAATATGAAATTGTGGCACTGTAACTCTCATGAAGTTTTTAAAACCTTCTTTCTCAACAAAACTAAACGGTAGCTCGTCAACGATTATCATTTTGGTTAAAGCTCTCCTACTTTGTGCTTGGTCAAATTTCCAAGTGCTAATCACCCCTTCCTTTGCTCCCGTTGAAGATGGTAGAAAATTAATTAGATTTTGGCCTTTATCTACGGTGTCACGGGGAAATTTAGGACATGTTCTCATATGAGTATTCATTGACGACGTACCATTACTTGATGTAGAAGCTACATAAGGTTTTGCACAATACTTGCATTTGGCTTTACTAGCTCCACTTTCATTGGTGAACTTGTCAAAATGCTACCAACAAGTAGCTCTAGGTTCCATGGCTTTTCTTTTCTTTGAAGTATCAACATCAACTTCAACCTCATTCGGAGATGAGGTGTTAGGTATGCTCTCATTTGAAGCTCCACTTTCACTTACCCTACTTCCAGTTTGTGTCATCTATAAAAAGTGAAACAAACAAGAACAATCAGAATTCAGAAAGACACAGTACATTACAGTTCACAAATTATCACATAGTTGCATACTTGCATAGTTGCAATCAATGATTAAAAAAACAATAGAGTATTCACAATTTACAACAATAGAATTCACAAGTACATGTACCAACACATCCCAATTCCTATGTCTAAAAACGTCTTGTGTATTTTAACTAACTATGCTAATCGACTCACTTATCAGTCCCTAACTAACAGACACTTAAACAGAATAGACAGAAGCAGGATTTCCATGGTAGAGGATCAGAAATACTTCCATGATCAGTCCCTAACTCATCTCGTATTTGAAATTGAATATAACATATATAAAGATTTCTACATGAAGTTAAGACTTAATACGCGATATACAAACATATCCAGTGAGCACTGACCTTCGACTTTCGAGTTGCGAGCAGTGCACTGAGTAGTTGTGGGTTGCGCCTACGACTATCCGACTTGCGAGCAGTCAACAGTCAACGAGGAGCCAAGAGCAACGAACGACGATGAGAGTTGAGAGACGATCTGCGACGGACGAGATTTGAGAGATGAGAGACGAGTCGACTGACAACTACTAGTCTACGACTTCCGAGTGACGAGAGTTGAGAGATGAGAGTTGCGGCGTAAGCGGTAGGACTAGTAGTCGTCAGTTGAGAGATGAGAGACGACAACTGAATCTGATGTTAGGACTTAGGAGTTAGGACTTAGGGTAATCAATTTAGGGATTTTCGAATTTTGATTGGAATTGGGTTGGGCATGGGCTGAGAATTTTAATTAAGGTTGTGGACTATCAGCTATAATTGGGCCTGCTGGGAATGGGGTAAAGAATATATACATATAATTTCGGTTTTTTGTTAACCGAATTTTTAAAGCTAAAAACCGAAAACCGAACCGAAAAAACTGAAATATTGAAAATCAAAACCGAAACCGACCAAAATAACCGAAATTAAAAAAAAATCGGTTCGGTCGGTTTTTTCAGTTTTAACCATATTATGCCAGCCCTATTCACAATACTTAATTTTGACATCAGAACTGAAACTGAGTATCTCTGGAAAGCAAGCTGAAACTGCCTAGTTGAGGAAGGTTAATGTGCTGAGTTTTGTAGTTTGGCATTTCAATGTCGAAAATTGGAATGCCAAAATAGTCGTGCTCTTTGTGTCAAATTGATCGTTCTGTAAACATGAGTAGAAACATGATCTGCAGTTACCCAGTTATATCTTGAATTGTTTGCAAGAGGTTTTCTTGAAATACACTTTGAACCTTGTTGAACACTTCCCTGAAACTGTTGAAAGGTTATCACATTATGTTACTGCTGGTTCTCCTGAGCGCTTTCATTTGAAAACAAAAATTGGCAAACAGGGAGAGCTTATTTTAAGATAAATAAATTCTTCTATGAATCCTATCAGGGAAAAAAATCTTTTTTATATTAATATCCATGTTAAGATAAATAAGGTCCACATTGGCAGGCCCTAACAATGAGAGCATGAAAGGAAACTGAAGGGAACTGCTCATGGTTAACTGAGATAATATTGTCCTTTCTATATAAGCAAGTTGCATTTCTCAGTCCAAGAAAGCTGAACTAGATGTGAAAATGTCATAAAATGACTTTACCAAGGCATTGTTGTCCCTAAAATGACCATACTTCACACGGTTCTTCACAAAATAGGTTGTTATATGCATAGATATGATTCTAATAGTTTGTCGTCTTTGTTTATAGGACTCGTTGATCCAACCTATTACCAGGATATTGGTTGGTGTTGCAGTGATCACCATATTGATAGTAATGGTGATGAAAGAATCTCCAGAATGGGCCAAAAAGTTGAACATCACTGGTGTTAATATCCCACCATGGGTCCTGGCTGCTGCGGTTATTCTGTTCACACGCATAAGGAAGAGGACTAAGGATTTCTTTGGAAAACGCCCATGATGAACTGGTGCTTAACCACAGGCAACTGAATTTTCTCAAAAATTTTGCATGTTTTGTTTGTGCTTTATACTATAGTTTTTGGATTCACATGTTATATATAAGCTAATCTAATCTTATAATCCAGTCGTGTGCATGCCTTTCCTCCTTTTATTTCTTGGAGAATTTTTTGTTATCACCGTGAATGGTCTGGCAATGACTGGATTCTAGATTGCTTTCTTGATGATGTTATACTATGAAACACGCATTCTCACTGTTGAGAATATCAGTAAATAATAATAGTGTGTTCTCTCTAACAGCTTAAGCTTTTAAATAAGATAGCCACACACTTCAACATGATATCAATAGAGGTCCTGAGATCGAATCTCACCACCACCCAAAATTATAAAAGAGTTTTCACGTGCTTGGCCCATGAGTGAGATGTATGAAAATAACACCTTGTCTCAAGCATGGGAAGATTTCTGGTCCGGGAACTCATTGAAGTTTGAAGAGTTGCATCTCTTTAGAAAAGATAAAAGAAGTTGTAATGTTAGGAACTTCTTGTCTTCTAAGGTTACGTTCTTTTGAGACAACCAAACAAAAATGTTTTTCCCATCTCTCTATTGAGATACAATAAATACCTAAGGTGATATTTATTTTAAGACGGAAAGAGTATAAAATTCTTGAGAAGAGCAATATGTAACTCAAGTAGAGGGAGCGTATAAATTGTTTTTGCTTTGAGCCGAGAGTCTATCAGAAACAATTGTTTTATCTCACCATGAGGTAAAAGTAAAATTTGTGCACACTCTACCCTTTCCAAAATCCGACTAATATGTTGATGTTGTTGTAAAGTAGAGGATATCATTTGTGAACTTTCCTTTACAGAATCTTGAAAAAATGTGTTGTAAACACCTTTAATGTTTTCTTAATTACGTAAACACAAACACACCATGTTTTAAAACAAATGAAAAGGCTAAAATATCACTTATTTTGAAACGGAAATAATAATACTCTGTTAAAATCTTCCTCAAATTGTATATGCCCCAAGTAGGGGTGTACACAACCGAGTTGGTTCGGGTTTTTCAAATATCAAACCAAATCATTTATGTAAAAAAATTAAATTTATAAATCAAATCAAACTAATAAAATTCGGATTTTTTCGGGTTTTTCAACATCTGGTTGGTTTGAATTTTTCAAATACCAAACCAAACCATTGTGTCGAATTTTTAAATTATAAATCAAACAAAACTAATAAACCTCGGGTTTTTTCAGATTTTTTAATTTTTTCGGTAAAGTTTGCATACAAACATATAATTAACATGTGCTCCAAATATTTCTTTAGTCCAACCAAAATACAATTATCTAAGGTGTTTCTTAAAAAAATAACACAAAATATGAGATGAGTACTGATGACACAAAAATATTCAATAAAAAATAATAATGAAATCATCATATAAAATAAATATTGTAAAGTCATAATGAAAAAATGATCATAATTTAAAAGTACTAAATCATTCTAAAATAAGTTTAATAAGTATTAGTTACATTACTAATTATTTAAGGAAAATTAAAATTAGATTATGTATTTTAATTGTCTAATCCAATGTAAAATTAAAGAACAAATATTCAATATTATTGTCATTCTTAGTGTTAAATTGATTTTCTTTTTACATTAGTATTAATTTGATTTTGATTTAAGTTTTATTATAGTTATCAACATCTATGAACTATAATCTTTATTGGACCATTCTGAATTCTAAGTTTTAAACTTGAAATAATATATTAAAAGATAAAAACTATGAAATAGTATAACAAATATTTTAAAATTATATCAAAGTAAATATTTTTATGTATAAAATAAAATTTTAAAATTACATATATAATGTCGGGTTGGTTTGGTCTCGGGTTGGTTTTTTTTAGTTAAAACCAAACCAACCCAAATATAGTCGGGTTTTTTTTTCCAATACCAAACCAAGTCAAACCAAACCACCAGTCGGTTTTTTTTTCCGATTTGACTCAATTTGTGATTTGGTTCAATTTTCGATTCGATTTTGTACACCCCTAGCCCAAGTATTCTATTTTGACCCACAATCTCAAAGTTTGACTAGTCTGCTGATTGAATTTCTTGTTGAATTTGTATCGCCAACAGTCCAACACTGTGGATGTGTGTCCGCATGATGGAAAATATATTTTAGGAGAAAAAGTGAGTTATTTTCTTATCTTTTTGTGTTTGATAAGCAGAGAAAAAAAAAAATTCTCTAAATGCATTTGTATATAATTAAACAAATACTATTTTTAAGGGTGGAGATGGTGGGTCGTGGGGATGTGGGGCTATGTGGGTGGGGGTTAAAGGTTAGGTGTATTTGATACGGAGACAATAAGTAAAAATCCACTTATTTTTTAAGAAAATATTTTTCGTAGAAAACATATTTCTTCATATGAAACATACCTATTATTGGAAGGTGTGGAGAATAATATCAATGTACAATATCATTTGTATAACTTGTTTTTCATACTATCATTAGAAAAATATTTTCTAAATTTTGATCAACCGAACACACCAATATATCTTTCAATTATCATTTATCATTTAATATTTCAGAACATTTCATCAACTTTCTTTAAACTTTCAAACCGCGTTATTAATTTTGTTTACTTTTTTTCTTGCACGTCCATTAGTTACAATCAATCAATCAATAATTTAATTTTAAGACTTCTTCTTTTATCAAAAGTGGTGAATTTTTTTCTTTTGACCAAGGCCTTGTGTAAAATAAAGAGCAACTTTCACATATAGCAAATAAAAAAATTATATTTGTATGCTATAGCAAAGTTTGCATAATTGCGCTCCATAGCAAATATATATATGTATAATTCGCTATGCATATACAATTGAAAGCTATGTCTATTTCGCTATACATATATACAAAAAGAAGCAATTGTATAATTCGTTGGCTCCTCTTCAGATTTGTATAATTTCGCTGGCAGGGCATTTGTATAAATTGTTGTTAGCCTCTCGTTTCTATAAATCGTTGACAAAATATTTGTATATCATAAATCGCTCTCTCTTTTGCTTTATACAAACATAAATTATACATTATACAAACATAAATTATACATTATATTTGTATAATCTGTGTTTGTATAAAACGAAAAAGAGAGAAAGGCAAAAGAGAACTGGGCAGGGGAATATTTGTATTGTATAATTATAAGTGTATAAGACGAATATAAATGTATTTGCATGTGTATATACAATTTTCTTTCGCTTTATACCAACATAAATTATACATTATACAAACATAAATTTTACATTATATTGTATAATCTGTGTTTGTATAAAACGAGAAAGAGAGAAAGGCAAAAGAGAACTGGGCAGGGAAATATTTTTATTGTATAATTATAAGTGTATAGGACGAATATATATGTATTTGCATGTGTATATATAATTTTCTCTCGCTTTATACAAGCAAAAACACAATTTATACAATTATGTTGTATAAAGCGAGAGAGGCGAGCACAGAGGGAGCGAGCGACAAAGGGAGAGTGGCAAGCGAGAATTTGGAGGGAGAGAGGCGACTGACAAACGTTTGCTACGGGGCACAATTAAATCAAACAGTAGCTACTCCATTTATTTTAGATTATAAGTTTGTCATTCTGTACAATTATCCCTAAAATAAATTAGCCTAAAAATCTGCAATCGAGGAATAAAATCCCTTCTCCGATGAAATCGTCTTAATTACTCAGAATATTTTCATCGGAAAATAATACCAAAAAAAAACACTCCACCCTACTCATAATCAGATAAATAATAGCGTATTAGCGGTACATTATTCTAATTGTAACGGGTCATAAGAAATCATTTTCACAATTTGTTACATTTGGGTTTTGGACTTTGTCTATTTGTATATAGATTTTCAAATGCCCCATTACTTGTAAAGGATTGGAACTAGAGTCTAATTGTTTGATCATAGATTCTCAATATTTTTCACTTTCGCGGGAGTTTATGCAGTTGAATTGAAAATAAAGTTGGAAAACAGGTTTAAATGACTTTTCTAATTTCAAAAACTTTATAACCAAACATTGATTCTGAAATAAATTATAAAATACTCAAGAGAAAAAAAGTAAAAAATCTCATAATCAAACAGTGCGTTGTTATCATGATTCATGAGCATATAATAGACACAATGATGAAAATATGACACCATCATGACCTATTATTATTAGATTATATATGTTGGATTTTAAAGATAGTGTAGTGTGAATCGGAAAGTAGTAAAATTAGAAAATTAAAATTTAACAAAGTTTATTTTTGTAAAGACACTTCAATTTGCTCCTTATTGATAAGGGGAAGTAAGACTAATGTGCTAAATTGCTAATATATACAAATACTTTTTCTAGTTATTAAAAAGTTAGAATCTCCTCGTGTTGTTATCGTCACAAAAGCTAAATTTTCAAAGAACTATTCTAAACACACGTAATAACAGTACTATTATTGAAACAAATAGACAAGAACAAAAGTTAAAACTTTGTTTAGATGATTGTTACGTATTGTTTCATAATATATCGTATTATATTGTATTGTTTTAATGAATACAACATTTGAATAGATTGTATCGTTCCCCTTCATTATGTAATGTTACACATCCATAATTTGAATGGTACAACCTACAAAAAATTGTAGGGTACGAGGTAGAGCTATTATGAAAAAGTAGGATAAATGTTTAAATAGAACTATTAAATAATAAGTGAAGATAAAACGAGAAGAAAATATTAAGGTAAGGACGCGATCACACCAAATCAGTCGTTACACAAAATGAGTCTTTTCGTCGTTACCTAATGATGGATTTAAACGATACGTTACAATAAAATTTAAATAACAATCAAAATAAACATTGTATTTAAACTAACAATATACTACAATACAATATAACACAACACAACGGGCGACAGACCTTCAAACAAGGTGTTAAAGTCCAATAGCCATATGTTCACATACTGTAGCTAACGTCAATTAATTAATTTGCTCATATATATCTTTGATTATTCCTTGTCAACCACGTCTATAAATTAACCCATCTCATACGTGAAATTGCTTATTTCAAAGAATTTATTTTCCATGTGATACATTATGGAGAAAATTTCATATATAGCGATAGTTATGCCCCTTATGACG